AGGGGGCTCGGGGCTAGGACAGAGGGTTAGGGTGCGGGGGGTGAAGGCTCTGGGGTGAGGCCGTGGATGAGGGGTTTGGGGTACGGGAGGGGGCTCAGAGTTGGGGCAAAGGATTGGTGGGATGGGGGTGAGGGCTCTGGCTGGGGGTGAAGGCTCTAGGGTGCAGGCTGCCCTGCGGCTGCAGGGGGAGAGAGAGATTCCCCCAGCCCTCTCTCGCTGCAGCAGCTTGGGGTTGGGGGAGAGGCTCCTCTCCCGGGCAGCAGCAGCTCCGGCTGGGCTGGGCCAGGCCAGGGGAGGGGTCCTCTCCCCAGCCGCCACAGCTTTTGCTGGGCTGGGCTGGGGGAGGGGTGCCTCTCCCCAGCAGCTCCAGCAGGGGGGGCTGGACAAGGCCAGGGGACGGACGCCTCTCCCTGCCTGTGTGGCCCTTGATAGCCTGCTGCGTGGCTGCGCAGCTTAGAGGAAACATAGGTCCCAGCTAGGATTTGCATAACGTCTCAAAACACCCATCCATGTCATATAGGGCAGGGCAGGATATGGTATCAACACAGCTATCTTGGAACCCATCTATTGTCCACCAAGGCAGCTGTGTTCATCAGCAAAGATGAAGTGATTAAGGCCTAGAGTGAAACTTTCATGAGCCAGAGGAAGAGCATTTTCAGCAGAAAATCCTCATCTGTGGGACCGTCTTCTGGATGAAATCCAAATGAGCCTAATCTCTTACTGATTTCTGATCCCATTGCAAAATCCAGCATTACTCAAAAGCCTTCCTACAATACCAGCACCTGGGGGGGGGGGAGAAGAAATATATGCCAAATCTAAGCAGCTAAACCAGAATTGGAAAGTATAAGGATTTATGTCGTACACATTTCTGTTCTGTAAGTATGACCTACATTCTTTGTTCCTAGATACATACATTTACATTTAGCTGTACTAAAATGCATATTGTTAGCTTGTGCCTAATTTACCAAGCAATCCAGATCACTCTGTATCAGAGACTTGTCCTCTTCATTATTTACCACTCCCACAGATTTTGTGTCCTCTACAAACTTTATCAGTGATGATTTTGTTTTCTTCCAGATCATTGATTAAAAATGTTATATAGCATAGGGCCAAGAATCAAGCCTTGCGGGACCCCAGTGGAAGCACACCCGCTTGATGATGATTCCCTGTTTACCACTACAATTTGAGACCTATCAGTTAGCCATCTTTTAATCCTTTGAATGTGTGTTATGTTAATTCTATATTGTTGTAGCGATGGCGTGGGCACTTTTACCCACTTGCAACAAGTTACAAAACAAACTGGTTTGTAATCCATTGAGTTATCTGAATTATTGCTAGGAGGAGTGTTGGGACCACATTTCTATCTGAAAATGCAATGTATTGACAAGCCCTCAGAAATGTAGATTGCATTAGTCATTTCACTAAACAGAGAGCTCAGAATATGAAAAATTCACCACATTTAGTTTCTTGATAATCTGGTCAGCCTACTTTTGTACATAGAACCCTGTATCTAAAAACCAAAACAAAAACCTATTTCAAAGGATTTTTGTATATGTCTGGCATCCCTTGAATTGTCTATCATGTCACATACTATTTTACTCAATTGACTAACTGTGTTTGTATCTATGCAAAGAGAGACCAGGTAGGTTGGTAATATCTCTTATTGGACCAACACAGCTACAACAATATTCCAAACAATCTATAAAAAGACTCAGTCTTCAGTGGCCAGAGGCTCATCGTATTATTTTCTTCCCCCTAATGATTTTTTCCACCCACAAAACATTGAAAATGTAAATGTGGGTTCGATGGTTATTGAAATTTCTTATAAACTTTAATCTTTCAAGTATACTTCAGCTATGCAAAATGCGGATTCTGAGTAAATATTAGTGCAGTTAATGGAAATTGTGTAGTAAATGCTTAAGCACGAAGCTGAAAACGACTTCCTTTCTTTGTTCCTAACAGCACAATCCCCTTTCAATGCTTCAGGCTCAATGGGAGTGGGGTGGGTGTGTGTGTGAGAGAGAGAGAGAGTGGGGGAAGGATGTCTGAGGATTTGGCCATAATGCAGCATGTAAAGAGAGATTTTTTAAAAAAAGAACTGGAAGAAAAAGGGCAAAATTCTTATGGATTACAATTTGTTCTATTTAGTTTTATACTTTTTCATTTGTATAAACATGCCCATTTTATAATAGTACAAAGTAGCACTACAGCATTTAATCCAAGATAATCCAGTTACTTTTTCACTCTGTTTCTCACTGTTGTAATCTATGGCTTTGTATACACGTTTGATAATGTATGTAAATTGTAGGGGTGTGTGGAGGTGCCCCCTCTATTTTCCTGTCCATCTCTTCAATGGTGTTACTGTATAAGGTTCTGTACCATCAAAAGAGATTATGAAATTACTTCTTAAAGCTAAAAGTATTAAATGAACACACTTATTGCAAACAAATTTGTCAGTGTCTCAAACAGCTGGAACTTGACTTTCTAAAAAGCGGTGTACCACTGTGCAGAGTTTAATTTAGGCACTTGGGTTTTTGCGTGACAAAGAATTTGATTTTGTAAAAATCACATTTTGTAGAAATGCTGCAGGTCAGGCTCCCAGCTTGTCTGATGGAAGTGCATTTTGGGGGGCTTATTTAGTTGGATGATGGTGCCCCCGAGGCTCTGCACTAGTTGCCTTGTTTAAAATTTACATGCCATTTGGCATACTGCTATCAGGCAATGTCAGAGTCTGCTATAATCTGGGTATTCATTTTTATGTCCATTTACTTGGTATTAATACTCATATTTACTTAGCTGTCCTACAGACTCAAAATGTGGCATTGTACTGACTATTTGGCACTTTGACATGTTTCTACCATGCACTCTGCATAGATGTACTGAAGAGGGATTTGCAGAATGGTTTGAAAGACTATATTACAGTTTCTCTGCCTATTTGGGGGTTGGTTTGTTTTTTGTCCACACTTGTTATGATCTATATGTCCAGAATACCAGATATATTTGGGCATATGCATCCGAAGAAGTGAGGTTTTTACTCACGAAAGCTTATGCCCAAATATATCTGTTAGTCTTTAAGGTGCCACCAGACTCCTTGTTGTTTTTGTAGATACAGACTAACACGGCTACCCCCTGATACCTGTCCAGAATAGCATCAGCTTTCTCGGAAACACGAAGATTTGTTGCAGTGTCTCAAAGTGAAGTTGAATTATACAAGTCCCTCTGCTGGATATATGTCTGGATCAGGCAGGCAAGGTATAATTATGTAAATTTGTTGATTACCAGCGGCGGCTGCCATTGTGTGTTTTATAAAAATTCTCTTTAGATGACAAATGAATTGAGCAGGACATCCAATTTTTGTCATAATTGTAGTTAAATAAAATTAGAGCTTCTGTTTTAAGTTTTAACCATTAAACACCCATAAACACCCCTGATACAAATGATGATGATAATAATAATTAATAAAATTGCTGTTCATACAATAAACCTGGCGGGGGAGGGGGGACACCAGAAATGGATACTTGTACCTAAGGGCTTGTGTACACAGAGCAGTAATGAGGACTACAGGGTTTGATTTCTAAAGTGCACGAATGCATTGCACATTAATTGGACTGTGTAGATCCTGCTGGTGGGCACTATTGGTTCCATAGTACACTTTAACATAATGCTGTTTGAAACAGTACAGTGTTAAAGTACACTAGAGAACATTACAAAGAGATTACTCCTTACAATATATACAAAGGGAGAACCCCAAAAATCCCCCAATTTTTGGACGTCTACATAAAACTCAAAAATTGCAAAAAATGAAATTAATAACCCTCCCGCCTCCCAAAAAAAAACAAAAACAGAAGCCCGCGTATACCAACCACATTAGTATTGTTTGCAGAGGTGACAAACCACATACACATACAGACCCCAGAAATCTTTCAGGCTCTGAATATATGAAACTTATTTGGAAAGAAACTGTTCCTGCATTGGAATTTCTAGGGAGAGAGATGTGTTAATACCCATCCCCAAAGAGGCTGAGTTTGGGGGGGCCTGCATCAGTCCCAGTGTGTGCTGATCCAAGGCGTGAGCAACCAAGCTTGGTACCAGATTTTGAGGATCTGTCACCTAGCCCAGCCCCCTTTCTGTTGGAAGGAGAGGCAAAACCTGACCCTGTTTGCTTAGTACCAGCCACATGATGCGTCTTTTATTTAAAACCCAGTAATCTTTGTACGAGCATATTTTTACGGTTATTTATTTTATTATTTTTAAGACAACATTGATGGTACAGGTACCAGCAGGGCCGCCGAGGGGCGGGAGCCGGTACAAATTACCGGGGCCTGGCGGTCCGGAAGGGGGCCCGGCTTCCCCCCCCCCCCATCGCCTTACCGGGGCCCGGAGGTCCAGAAGGGGGCCCAGGGCCCAACTTCTCCCCCTCTTGTCGGCCCTGTTTAGCCGATCCGCCCTTGTGGGGGGTCCGAAAATTTTTTTTCACCGGGGCCCAAACCCGCTCTCGGCGGCCCTGGGTACCAGATAAGGAGAAAAATTAAACAATCCTAAAAATCCTTAAGATAATAATACCTATTTAATAGAGAGCAAAAAAGATTGTCACCTTCTCTCACAAAGTAGTAAAATAGCTATGTCAGAGAGATGTTTGGCTGTTTTTTTAGCTGCATTAGGCCAGCATTGTACCACTCTGCTGGTACAAAGCTACCCTAAAAACAAATTCACTTGCTGCTGGAAATTTCCCCTGTGTAGCTGACTAGCAGCTGCTCTTATGCCACCTCTCTACAGTCAGCACAGGTGGGAAGGCTTCTCCGTGTCCTGTTTCTAGAATGGTTTGTTGAGACCTTAGGCAGCCAGGTCTCCTAAGATTCTGCAGGCTGTTCCAAGCTTGCCTTGGAGGAGGGGTGGACCAGTGCAGAGTAGCCCTAGGATGGGAGGTAGAGTGTAATGGTGGCTTCGGGGTAGTCAATTATTTTTTTTGCCAGGATCCATATTACTTGGTCAAGGTATAGTCAAGGTTCAGACTCCAGAGAAAATAATAATTTATAAAATAATTAATAATAAGTAAATAAAAACATTTCAGGGTCTTCAAAAGCATCTGGCGGTCTGGATTTGGCACGCAGTCCGCCTATTGACTACCCCTGTTTTAGGCTACCTTTGCACCTCCCCATTCTGAGTTGTACTAAGTGCTCTTGAGCTGCAGGTTAGGATCTTGCCCAAGATTTGCACAATCCTTGACAACATTCACTCCTGGAACTATATAACCACAAGCATTCAAATAGTGATAAGAATTTCAATTAACTAATCATTTTATAATCTGGAGGGGGGCAGAGAGACCTAACAGGTAGCTCTGGGGCAAATAAGAATTGGCATTTTATAAAATTTGGAACATGTTTCTCTAAAAGATGCCCTGTATCAAAAGGAAGCCCCCTTACATTAACAATCCCAGCCTTTACAGCCCAGATTAAATCATAGATTAGCTGAGTCATATTCAACAGAGGGTCCTGTGGCACCTTTAAGACTAACAGAAGTATTGGGAACATAAGCTTTCGTGGGTAAGAACCTCACTTCTTCAGATGCAAGTAATGGAAATTTCCAGAGGCAGGTATAAATCAGTATGGAGCAAGTTTCTTCATGAGGTTGATAGATTTCCATTCCATACGGCTAAATGCAGTGCCTTGCATAGTGTCAAGTATCAGAGGGGTAGCCGTGTTAGTCTGAATCTAAAAAGCAACAGAGGATCCTGTGGCACCTTTAAGACTAACAGAAGCATTGGGAGCATAAGCTTTCGTGGGTAAGAACCTCAGTTATCTCCATACTGATTTATACCTGCCTCTGGAAATTTCCATTACTTGCATCTGAAGAAGTGAGGTTCTTACCCACAAAAGCTTATGCTCCCAATACTTCTGTTAGTCTTAAAGGTGCCACAGGATCCTCTGTTGCTTTTTACAGATTCAGACTAACACGGCTACCCCTCTGATACTGAGTCAAATTGACGTCATTGACCTCTACCCAAAGTGGAGAATTATTTCTTGATTAAGATCAAAAAGAAAAAAATCCAACCTTTTTATTTAAAAAAAAATTTCAAGAAATCTCTCAGAAAAATAGAAATTGCAGCACACAGCGGAACAAATTCTGCTCTAGATCCAGAAGCCCAACTATGACCTCCCCACACTGGGATGGGGCAGGACTGCATTATAGCTGAGTGGATTGGTGTTTCTGTCATAGTTAGAACATAACATAACATAAGAACGGCCGTACCGGGTCAGACCAAAGGTCCATCTAGCCCAGTATCCTGTGTACCGACAGTGGCCAATGCCAGGTGCCCCAGAGGGAGTGGACCTAACAGGCAATGATAACATTCCACTTAGAACATAACATAGTTCCCCAAACAAAGTGAAGTCACTCAGGCTTTGTGGGGGCTTTCATCTCATGAGGACAGTCGTAGGTTTCATAAAACATATGTAAGTAACAAATAAACGATCACTTTGAAGACAGCAGCTTACAATGAATCTTAAGATGTTTGATAAGCACAAATTTAATCTAATTTTCAATCAAATTGTGCCAAATTTAGCTAAAGATTATGTGACAAATGATCATTCTGAACTGGTGCTGTGTGCCTCTTAATTTTGCTTTTCACCCAATCCTTCAGAAAAGCATATTTTATTTTGTATAAGATAATAGTTTGTGTTTGTGTACTAAATAAAGTATTTACATTCCCAAAAGTCCTGCTTATGAACCAGCATACAGTCCAAATATAATTATGATATTGCATAATATGTACACCGCAGAAGCAGTCTCTTCCTTAGTGACTGCTTAGTTCCTACTAGTTCTCCCCACGTATAGGAACTTTATTCCGAGAATGCCTTTCTGGATTACGCCTTTACATTTGGCAGAGTCCTAAAGTGGCTACTGTCTAAATAGATGCTGCTGCTTCTTTCTTTCTTTCTTCCAGCTGGTAAGTACTCCTAACTCCTATTACATTTTCCTCTAATTTTTCTTTTCTTATTCCAGAGGAGAGGGCATTTTTACACGGAATACTTGTTAAATTATTTTGCCATTGAAGTTTCTTGCCTTTTTTTTTTTTTAAACTATCTAAAGTAAGCCTTTGTGTCTCACTTTTACCTGTCACCTACCTATTTTCTTGCATTATTGTATATTTGTTTGTTTTAATGTGTCTCAAATAGGAAACAAGTTTTAGGATGTTCATCCTTTGAAAGTAAGGTGTGCTTAGCAGGTGCAAACTTGAAAACTTAAATTCCTGCTTTTAAACATAACATAAACAATACCTTTCCACCACTCCCTTAGGCTGATATCAGCCTACAAGTTATTTTCTCTTGTGTAATAAACCGATAGCAAACCTTTGAAATGATGTTGCAGGTTCTTCAAAGAACAGTTTCCCTTTTTATTTCTCTCTCCTCAATATATTTGATAGTACATCATCTTCCCCTTGAAATTACTAACAGCAGAGCATTTCAACTATTTCCGCCTGCATTTTTCTGTAAGGTTTTTTTTTTTTTTCAACAAGCAGTTTGGTTATTATGAAGAGTAATAATAGTAATTAAAAAACCCTTCTCCTCCAAAGCTCCTTGCATACACTAATGCATGTGATTAATTTTAGGCCCATGAATAGTCCCATTGAATTCACATTCAGCGAGATTACTCATACATGCAGAGTTAAGCACCTGTATATGTGCTTGAAGAATGGTGACCTTAAGCCTCTGCAACAGCCAAAGACGAACACGTTGCTGTGCAAGAAGGACTAAAACAAGACAACTAATGGTCATTACAATTTCTCTTTTTCTTTGTATGTGCATTTCTAAGGTAGTCATCATTGCATTATCTAGACACCATCACTTACATTAAAAAGAACAACAGTGGTCTTCCAGGATGAGAAACCAGTTCTCCACCCCACTCCTATGCTTTAAGACATTTTCTTGGGAACATAAGAATAGCCATACTGGGTCACACCAATAATCCATCTAGCCCAGTATCCTGTCTTCCAACAGTGGCCAATGCCAGATGTTTAAGAACAGGGCACTACTGAGTGATCCATCCCAGCATCTGGCAATTGGAGGCGTAGGGACACTTAGAGCATATGTTGCATCCCTACCATCTTGGCTAATAGCCATTAATGGCCCTGTCCTCCATAAAATCATCTAGTTCTTATTTGAACCAGGTTATACTTTTGTCCTTCACAACATCCCCTGGCAACGAGTTCCACCAGTTGACTGTGCATTGTGAACAAGTAGTTTGGTTTGTTTTAAACCTGCTGCCTATTAATTTCATTGGTGACTTCTTGTGTTATGTGAAGGGGTAAATAACATTTCCCTATTCACTTTTTTCCCACACCATTCATGATTGTATAGACCTTTATCGTATCCCCCTTTTTAGTTGTCTCTTTTTCCTTTAAAGATGAACAGTCCTAGTTCCTCCTCGTTGTTTTTGCTGATACAGACTACGGCTACCACTCTGAAACCTAGTCTGTTCAGTTTCTCCTGATATGGAAACTGTTCCATACCCGTAATCATTTTTCTTGTCCTTCTCTGTACCTTTCCCAACTCTAATATATCCTTTTTTGAGGTGGGGTGACCAGAACTGCATGTAGTATTCAAGTTGTGAGGTACCATGGCTTTATATAGTGGCATTATGTTATTCACGGTCTTATTATCTATACCTTTCCTAATGGTTTCTAACATTGTTAGCTTTTTTGATTGCCACTGCACATTGAGCAGCTGTTTTCAGAGAACTATCCACAATAACTCCCAAGATCTCTCTTGAGTGGTAACAGCTAATTTAGACCTTATTGTTTTGTATGTATGGTTGGGATTATGTTTTACAGTGTGCATTACATTGCATTTATCAACATTGAATTTCATCTGCCATTTTGTTGCCCAGTCACCCAGTTTTGTGAGATCCCTTTGTAACTCTTTGCAATCTGCTTTGGACTTCACTATCTTGAGTAATTTTCTATCATCTGCAAACTTTGCCTCTTCGCTGTTTATCCCTTTTTCCAGATCACTTATGAATATGTTGAACAGTATGTTAGCCACTCAGTTTAGGGCACCCTGCCTATACCCTACCGAGAGCTCAAAGCGTGACCTGGTCAATTTAGGGCACCTTGCCTATACCCTACTGAGGGCTCAGGGTGTAAGGCACCTATCCTTACCCACGGGGCTCAGGAAGAAACCTGGTCAATATAAGTACCTTCCCTTTGCCTCAGGGCTCATGGCTCTATGGGTCTGCAGAACCTTTTCCTTGGAAAGAGCCTTACACAGTTGTGCTCTAAACATCTATTTATTTGAAACACACATAGAATATATATACCAAGCAAATATCTTATGCTCACCACTCCCTCTATACAGACAAATTTCATCTGATGGCCAGTCAGGATCCACTCATCTGGGGGTTCCCGGCAATGCCTCTGCACATCACAGTCTTGGGGTCAGAATTCCAGCAGCTTCATGTTGTACTGCAATCTGGAAATGATTCCCAAAGAGCATTGTTTTTCACTTACATTATACAGGTAAAACTAGCTACCTCCTTCAATTTTACTAAACCTATCACATTATCCCACACTCCTAAATAAAAAATTTTAACCAATTACATACTGGCACCTGTGTGTCCTTCTTCCTGCCCAAGTTTTTTTACATTTTAACTTTCATGCCCAAATGATAACTTAGTTGTGACTTGTGTTTATGCAGATAGTCAACATAAAAACACTGGTTAGAGCTTATTTACTGAGTCTCGCTCTGTATTTTCCCTAATTTCCTAGCGCCTGGGTGTCTCTACTTAATAACCTTGGTGGTTATAACACTCATTAGGGACCCCTGGTTGAGAACCACTGTTCTAGGTCAAGGCACAGGGCTTGGCTACACTGGCGCTTTACACCGCTGCAACTTTCTCGCTCAGGGGTGTGAGCAAGTTACAGCGCTGTACAGCGCCAGTGTAAACAGTGCCCCAGCGCCGTAAACTAATCCCCTCATGGAGGTGGAGTACCTACAGCGCTGGGAGAGCTCTCTCCCAGCGTTGGCGCGCGACCACACTCGCGCTGCTGCGGGAGCGCTCCCACGGCAACGCTTTGAAGTTTTCAGTGTAGCCAGGGCCATAGTAATCCAATCTAAAGGTGACAAAAGGATGGATTGCTGTGGCTCAGAAGTGCAGAGTGTATTAGAATTGGCTGTGGGTGTCTCCTCTGGTAGTTGTAATGACTTCCATCAGCATGCAGGGATCGTAGTTCAGCAATGATGCTATTAAAGGATTTTCATAGTGGTGATGGCCCTGATTTTGCCACTGTTTCTGACCTTGAAATTAACAGGACTATCCAGTGTAAAGTATTATTTACACAATATGATACTCCTGGGGGAATTGTGCGCCACTGTGCGCACTCATATTTCATGTGTTGTGCATATTTTAAATATCTTTTTGCAGAAAATAGCTTCTGCTGAAAAGTTGCTGCAGTTCCACCTCTTGCTCACCAAAAGGTGCTGTGGCACTAGAGCAGAGCAGCAGCTCTTGGCAAGCCCCAGCTATCACAGGCAAGAGAAAGAGCCTGCCTTCTTCACAGTGCCTGTCGGGCCACGTCCGGAGACGGGGTCTATGGGGAAACAGACAGCGTGGGGCTGCTGGGGGTTAGACAGGGGTTCATAAGGGCTGGTGTGGGAGGACAGACTGGGGTAGTGGCTGAGGGGAGGTGCAGGTCCACATGGGTAGAGGTGTGTGTGTGTGTGTGTGTGTGTGCACGCGCAGACCTACGAGGGGGAAAGTGGATGGCTGAGTGGGGTCACAGAGACACATGGTGACAGGGGTGGATGTGCCTGACTGAATTGAAGAGGCTAGGGGTCAGCCAGGGTCTGCATGGGGATGCTCCCTAACAATCCCTCCCCACCCCCAAAAAACCCTGTTCCATACTTTTCCCACCCATACCCAACAACCCTTCAAGTTCATACCCAGGTTCCTTCCCAGCAATTACTTCCCTCTCCCTCAGCTCCTCTGTTACCCCTGACTCCCCCAAGCCTTTGCACTGCTTCTGAGGGATGCGGGAAATACGGTTCTGTATTGTAGTTACATGAATTATTACTCAGAGTTCTGTATTAATATATGCCTAGTAAGGAATCTGTTTGTCAAAAAAAAAAAAAATCCTGAATCCCATACTTGCTGACAAGTATTTTGAAATAAATTACTGAAATAATTGAAACTGGTGTGATTATATAGTATTATTTTGACAAATAAAATATGCAGAATTTTGCAGAATTTTAAAATATTGTTTACAGATTTAAAAAAAAAATTGGTGCAGAATTCCCTCAGAAGAAATGTGAATAAGTGTTGCTGATTTGGACGCAAAATTAGCAAGTCTTAGTCACGAGGACAGGTTAAACCATGCTTTTTGCCTTAAAAGTCTTGCGTGTGAAACACTTATTTATATCATACAATGTTGTATAACGTCAGAAAGCAACACAAATTAAACAGTGCTTTTTGCCTTAAAAATTGTTTCTCTTTGTTTATGATGATAACTCATCCCAAGTAGTAAATGGAGATTCAAAACCAATTGCATAATACTACTTAAATTTTATGGTTGTATTTTGGAAAACGAGACCACACAGGTTTCTGAGATGACCTTCTTTTTTCTCCTTTCTGCTGCTTTAGGAGTATTGCATGGGGCTCAATGAGGTAGTGTAGCCTTTTTGTGATGGAGAAGGAGGCAAGCCAGTTGGAGAAGGACCATGTCCATAGTGTGTATGAGAAAATTGCTCCTCACTTCCATGATGCACGCTACAAGGCTTGGCCAAAGGTACAACAGTTCCTTGCAGATCAGGAAACAGGCAGCCTGATTGCTGATATTGGTAAGTTTCATCCCTGAGTATGACAACTGTTTAAAAAGGAATTTAATTTGTTTAGTGTTGATAGTGATCAAAGCCAGGGATGCCTCTTCTCTGTATTAAGCAGTACTTTTGGGGATGGTCAAGGTCACCTTGCCTTAAGCTGCAGGGTTTGAAATGAGTGCTCATCTGCAAAACGAGTGTTTTGGAGCTGGTAGGTACTCTTTTAATCATCATAGCCTGGCTGCCTATCAAATTTGCCTCCTGCTGCTTGCTCTCCCTCTTTCTTCTATAATGGACCTGCTTCCAGAGCCACCCATAGATACATACAAGCCATGTGGCTGTGCAACTTTTCCCATTACCTACTTGTGACGGAATGTACAGGCCTTTGAGGCCCCTTGCTGGAAGGCCCATGGTCTTACCATACCCTGCCCCAAGAAAGGAGCAGTGAAGGTGGGTCCTCCAGGCCTGCCTAGAGAGGCTGCACAGAAGCAGCCAATCTGAGCCCAGCAGGCTCAGCTAAAAGGCGCTGCAGGGCCTGAGCAGGTCAGTAGGACCAGAAGAGCAAGGAAGGGTGCTTCTTCCTGGTCACAGGAGCTCGAGAGAGAGCCAGAAGATGGGTTTTGGTGACATTTGTATTTCATAGAATCATAGAACATCAGGGTTGGAAAGGGACTTCAGGGGGTCCTCAAAGCAGGACCAATCCCCAACTAAATCATCCCAGACAGGGCTTTGTCAAGCCTGACCTTAAAAACCTCTAAGGAAGGAGATTCCATCACCTCCCTAGGTAACCCATTCCAGTGCTTCACCACCCTCCTAGTGAAAAAGTTTTTCCTAATATCCAACCTAAACCTCCCCCACTGCAACATGAGACCATTGCTTCTTGTTCTGTCATCTGGTACTACTGAGAACAGTCTAGATCCATCCTCTTTGGAACCCCCTTTCAGGTAGTTGAAAGCAGCTGTCAAATCCCCCCTCATTCTTCTCTTCTGCAGACAAAATAATCCCAGTTCCCTCACCCTCTCCTCATAAGTCATGTGCCCCAGCCCCCTAATCATTTTTGTTGCCCTCTGCTGGACTCTTTTTCCAATTTTTCCACATCCTTCTTGTAGTGTGGGGCCCAAAACTGGACACAGTACTCCAGATGAGGCCTCACCAATGTCAAATAGACGGGAATGATCATGTCCCTCGATCTGCTGGCAATGCTCCTACTTATACAGCCCAAAATGCTGATGATTTGGTGAGAAGGAAGAAGATCTGAGAACTTCAGCCCTTAGGTAAGAGTGAAGAAAAAGGGGCTATATGGGAAAAGGCTCAGGCTAGCAGCAGCGAACTGGAGGCAACTGCTGTTGATAGTGTCTCTGTGTTGGGACCCGGAATAGTGGGTGGGCCCTGGTTCTCCCACTGGTGAAGTGGTCTAAGCCCCAAGCAGAGGACAAGTCTTAGAATCCCAAAGGCAGGGCGGGATTTAAAGGGCCCAGAGCTGGGGCTGAATACCCTGATGAAGGCAGGCAGTGTGTTGAACTCTTTGCTACCCCAAAAGGGGTTCATCCATTTGACTGTGTGAGTTAGCCTGGCTGCCTATCAGATTTGCCTCGTGCTGCCTGCTCTCCCTTTTTCTTCTATAATGGACCTGTGTGAGTTGGCCGGAGAGCTGAGCCTCTGAAGACCTACAAAGAAAGGCTGACACCCTACTGAAGGCACTAGGGGCCAGAAAGGCTTGCAGTATCACACCCAGCCATTAGGAGGCACTTGGGAGGTGAATGTCCTGTCACCACTATTAAAGGAAAGTATGAAAGGGCTAAATAGCTGAATAACGTGGCAAATAATTTTCCCTTTTTTATTTTAAGATGTTAGTGGATATGAAAACTCTGAAATTTGAAGTTTTCTATTTTTCTAAAGTTAAAGCATGGACCATGCCAGGGCAAGTTTCCCTGTACTACCGTGCCAGTGTGCTTCCATGCCTGCAGGGACAACAGGTGCTGGCCAGCTGGTAGTTTTGCCACTGTCCTCCTTCATTCTTTAAGAAGTAACATTGTCGACAAGGATGTTAATAGTGATATGGACACCTCCCCATTAAACTAAGACCATGGAAGGATTTCACGTTGACCACCAAACAGAGGTCTGATATGGCCAGCTTATGACTGCTACTGACCTGTGCTGGATTCAAACTAAAAATAAATAGCTTCTCTACTCCTTTTTCAGTTTGCTAAAGTCATCTCTTCAGCCTCTTTCTTTTTGTCTTTCAATTCTTAGTGTTGATGAAAGTGAAGTATCAATAACAATGGCTTGCACCAAACGTGTAATGTCCGATGTTACACTGACTTCCCTACATTGCTCTGTGTGTGCACACTGGGATTTCTGCTCTACGTGTCTCTTTTATTTCTGGGTGTTCTCATGAATGGTTGGGGTTAATTTCATAGTGGTTTTTAGTGTATTGCAGGGGTAGGCAACCTATGGCACGTGCGCCGAAGGCGGCACGCAAGCTGATTTTCAGTGGCACTCACACTGCCCGGGTCCTGGCCACTGGTCCGGGGGACTCTGCATTTTAATTTAATTTTAAATGAAGCTTCTTAAACATTTTAAAAACCTTATTTACTTTACATACAACAATAGTGTAGTTATATATTATAGACTTATAGAAAGAGCCCTTCTAAAAACATTAAAATGTATTACTGGCACACGAAACCTTAAATTAGAGTGAATAAATGAAGACTCGGCACACCACTTCCAAAAGGTTGCCGACCCCTGGTGTATTGTGAACTGTGAAAACTGATCAGAGGAGGGCACTATAAAATAGGCCTCACTCCTTTCACGTGAACAAATACATATGCATTATGAACCATCAAATTGAATTTTGCCTGTGACATAGAGGATTTGAACTGAAGTCTCCAGAAGTGAAAGGCGATTATATTAACACAATGCACTTCACTCCCTTTTCTTAATTGGGTCTGTGATTTCAATGACAGTCATTCAAGCAAGAGGTGAGAAATCACATTTGGTAACTTTTTAGATTTTCAAAATGTAAACAGTTTTTCAAACTATCAGACTTAATAGTATAAGGATTCAGATACCTGAGCCCCAGATGAAAATGCTAGTAGTAAAATAGTTCTAAAGTTTTGTTGTTATTTCAACACAGATTTTTTGTAGTGTGGGAAGGCTGTACATCTCCACATCAGAAGCATACAGTTATGAAGAAACTGCAGGGAGATATCAGACAAAGAAAGTTCCAGTTGTCATGGCAACAACAATTAGCAGCAGATAACAAGAAAACAATGGGTTTAACAGCTTGGTCTAATAGTGATTTAATTACTTAGCCTTCTGATTTGTCCGTTTGAATACACGGGAATAATTCAAAGCTGTGCTGCTGCCATATGATGCTTTAATGCTTTATTTTTGTTCTCTTACAAGCAGAAGTGCAATAGCGTCATTAACATAAACGTTATTGATTCTGTATGCCCTGAGAAAGCCAAGACAAATGCTCTTTAGCAAATCCATCTCATCACTTAATGTCACACAGCAAAGAGCCCACTGTTTGACAGATAGCACAATGAGCACAGACTGTTCCTAAAATGATCACAAGACACAATAAATTCCTCTATAATGTCATCCTGTTTTGTTTTGGTTTTTTTTAAGTGGGCAGAGAATTTCAAATTATTGAGGTCAGACCCTGGCACATTTCATTGCTCATGTCAGGAGTACATTCTGTTGCATACAGAAACTGAATGACACTCTTTCTCTTCCTTATTTTACTACTTCAGGCTGTGGAAATGGCAAATACCTTCATATCAATTCTCAAACCTATAAGGTGGGCTGTGATTACTGCTTCCCTTTGGTGGAGTCAGCACGAAATGATGGCCATGAAGTAATGGTGTGTCATAGTCTGTGCCTGCCATATCGGAATGAGTGTTTTGATGCGGTCTTATCCATTGCTGGTAAGTTTTGTACATTGGCAATTTCTGTTGGCCAAAATTTCAAAGGATAATCATGTTTGGAGCTTCTAGCCTGGCTTCACAATCTCTGCCAAGTGTTTTGGCAGAGGGCAACACAATATTTGGGTAGACCAAGGAAATTTTGCATCAATCTAGTTATACCACTGCAAACCCCTCCCCACTTTGCCAGTGCTGTGCTGTTAGTAACTTGCTAGGGTAGGTTATGCTGGTACACGCACTGCCTACACCAGTGGTTTGCAAAAACCCCAATATAGACCAGGTTCTATTTGGGCTTTTCCCAGTGGCAAAAATGTGAAATAATGACCACCTGCCAGCAGGAAAATATGATGAAAAGAGCCAGCAAAGGAGTCTCTGGTAAAACAGATTTATGTGGAGAGAAGTAGACTGGGCCCTGAGTTGCAGGGCCAGCATTCATTCAACCACAGTAGTGGGAGGTGCTGCCACTCTACTAGCAAATGAAGGATTGAGACCCAAAACTTACCATTTTTTCCTGTTGTTGAACTCTTAAGATGCTGGCACGGCTTGGTAGGAAGGCAGGGGCAGAGTTATCTTGCTTTTTGGTTTGTGAGAAGGTGGAAGCCTTATCTTTTGGACATGTGGAAACCCAATATTTGTACATTCTGATCAGGTAATTACAAGCTGAAGTGTATGTTTCTATAGGCAGGAAGATGCACATGATAAGGGAACCCATTGGAAAGATGGCACTGATGGCTTTGTACACTTACACAGGGTTTCGGGTGAAGTTGTGATTACATTAATTTCCCAGTCGAATGTGTAAAATTCTGTATGAAATATCTAGCTGTTCAATACTTGACAAATATCAATCACTACAATATACTGTGAAATTTTAAAATAATCACCAGTATTCCATCTTTTCATAACATGCTGTAGTCACCTGCATCACCACCAACTCCTGTCTCCTCTCTGCTCTTAAGGCTTCTTTTATTTTGTTCCTCTTCCCTTTGCAGCTCACCTTAATGGGAGAGGACGTCTGTCCTTGCTCCTGTAACTGAGACATCAAGTAAGAGTGAGGCTGCAGAAACTTCTATATCCTTCACTACCTCTCCTTAGAAGCTACGGGGCTCTCCTCTCTTTGGGACAATCTTCATGAAATTACCTAACAAGTCCACAAGTCAAATAATCATATTAAAAACAGGATTGATTAAAAATAGAAGAATAGTGGAACTAAAACAAAATACATTGTTTGCTTAACAGAGGAAGATTTACTTTTCCTGTAAGTTAAACAAGATGAGACACTCCTAGCTTCATTAAAGCAAAATTTAAATGTGAATATCTTACATCTCTTTAAATCAATCACTGATCAGGCTGACAGCTTCCTCTCCCTATCTCAGAAAGTCTTTCTTTCAGCCTCTTGGGACTCTGGTTTTCAAATCCCAGATCCATGTCAAGTCCTTTGAAGTTCAGAGGAGCTTCCAGAGTTCATTATCATACTAGATACAGTGTTCTGTTCTATGTAGGTATTCATGCTTAGCACTGGAGTATCTGAGCACCTTACATTAGTTTATTAAGCAACATGACGACACATGTGTAACATGTTTGTTCTCTCATCCTTTCCCCAGTTGGAGAAGTGTGTGCAGTGGGGTGTTTTTCTTTGGAAATGTTTTACTGTGTGTGCGTATAATGTTAACACACACACATTACATTGTTTGTTAGAGAAGGACAAGCTCACAGACATGTGGCTTACACTTAGAGCAAAAGGTGTCCTTAGTTCCTATGGAAGTTTATTCCACAGTCTAGGGCCAACCCCCAAGACAGCTTTGTCTTCTGTACAGATGAGCTTTACCATTATTATAAAGAATTCCATTACCCTGGAGGAGCGTAGTTGTTGACCAGTCTTCATCCCAGAGCTGTAGGTAGTTTTTCTAGGTATTGTGGGTCCAGGACATGGAGCACCTTGAAGATATGGACTGAACCCCTGAACTTGATCTGATAGTCTATGGGAAGCCAGGGTAGAGAGCAGAGCACAGGGCTGATATGCTTACAATAGCCCATGTTGCTGAGGAGATAAACTAGTACAGAATGCTGCAGGGTGAGTTTTCCAAGGGGTGATGGCTTCATGCCAAGCTATACTGCTGTTGTCCAGCGGAGAGGTGGTGAAGGTGTGACTAACTGAAGCCAGGTAATTGTCTGCCAGATGAGACTGAGATGGTAGAAAGCATTACTTGCAGATGTGGCTATGTAAGCTCTTAGAATCGACAAGTTATCCAAGTATCAGAGGGGTAGCCGTGTTAGTCTGAATCTGTAAAAAGCAACAGAGGGTCCTGTGGCACCTTTAAGACTAACAGAAGTACTGGGAGCATAAGCTTTTGTGGGTAAGAACCTCACTTCTTCAGATGCAAGTACTTGAAGTGAGGTTCTTACCCACAAAAGCTTATGCTCCCAATACTTCTGTTAGTCTCAAAGGTGCCACAGGACCCTCTGTTAAGTTATCCAAGAGTACTCCTAGACTACAGACTGAATTGACCAATTGTTGGTGCGTACCTTCATCAACAGGTGACTTCATGGCGGCAAACTCTTCAGAGTGCTTTCGTCTGCCTACTAGTATAATCTGTTTTACTCAAGTTCAGCATCAGTCAGCTGTTAATGCACTAGGGCATCTTGGTGGTAGTAGTGTGGCCGTATGTGGTAACGTATAATATTGCCAATTCATGATTTATTTTTTTTATCATGCATCTCATGATATTTGACGTTCTTCTCAAAGCACAAGTTCTTGGAGTAATAGGATTATATGAGAATCTCAGCTTCTGGTTGTAATTTTTTTTAAATGAAGCTTCTAGCCCACATGGTTGCTGAGAAAAGCTTTAAAACGTGCACTTTAAAGGATCAAAAACCAAAAGGCAAATAAAAAGAACTCCAGACTTCTTATTTAAATCTCGTGCTTTCTAAGCCAATCTCATGGGTTTTGGACCTGATTCATTTTTATTTATTTATTGTGAGCGATGGGTTTTGGCAATACTGCAGACAGCCCTCCCATCTCTGAGTCCTATTTGTCCCCACATAATCTTCTGAAGATACATACACACCAGAGGTGATGGTAAACAATTGCATTTCCTATCTTTCCGGAGATTGTCTAGCTACAGGAATAAGGTCCTTCAGCAATGCTCAGGCCAGGACTAGACTAGAAACTTTTGCCAGCATAGCAATGTTGATTAGAAGTAATTTCATGATTTTTTGGCCACATTTCTATGCCAATAAAAGCCCTAATGTAGATGCAGGTACACTGGCATAGAAGTGTTTTTGCCACTATAGCTTCTTTTGCTCAGGGAACTGGTATAAACTACACCAGAAAAAGCACTTTTTGATCAGTACAAGCTGCATCTGCATTCAGAGGGTTTTGCAGTAAAGCTACACTAGCAAAACTTGTAAGCATAAAGTAGATCTAAATAGATTCCTTTCAAATGCGTAACTCCTAACAGACCAATCTTCCACAGCTCTTTGCCTGCATTTGGAAAAGTATCCTGTACGTTTTCTCCATTTACTCATAACACAATTTTACTCCAGTTTAAATATCGCTCACTGACAGAAACCAGCCCCTTTATCACAGTCACATATACTGATGGGGTTTTTGTGTGATTGTATGCATCAGAGTGCCAACCCTGTCCCATTGAAATCACATGGAGGTTAGCCATTGACTTCAGTGACACATGGGCACCAATCCTTCTATCTCCCTTTCTGTTAAGGAATTATTAATGCTGTCTGAATCCACTTGGCATATCTATAGCTCTTTCAAAATGGCTTTATCTCTATCCTAGTGAGATCATGCTCTTTATGAACATAAGAATGGCCACACTGGGCCATTGTGACATTCCCCAGGTACAATCTGGACTGCTGAATAGCTGTGTCCTGTCAGTTCTCCAGTCTGGGGTGCCTTTTACATTGCTTCGCTGTGAAAGCAACCGCTCCTGGCCTTGCTCACACACAGCCTCTAACATGTAAATTACTCCCAGCTATACTGCAAGAGTGTTTCAGCTAGCCATTCCTGAATTATATTGCAGTGACACCAGCAAATTCTTGTCCCCAGAAATGTGCGTCTTGTACTGTCCAGCTCTTTCCTTCTGTGCAGTACAAGCTCACAGAAAGTACGTCATCTCAACATGGTTTGTGTATCGTATTTTCTATTATTATCTTAAATCTTCTTAGCATATGTGCAACATGCCTCTTTCATCACAGAATTTGGTCCACTGGTTGGATCATTAGTTTCCCTGGCTTGGGATGGGTACTGATGGGGAGTTCGACGTGAACGCTGATCCATGCCCCTCATTGGGAAACTTCATTTCAGATAACAAACACTTTAATCCAAACACACACTGGTTTAGATAAAACAATAAAACAAGTTTAACTACAGAAATATATATTTTAAGTGATTACAAGTAATGAGGCATAAAAGTCAGAATTGGTTACAAAGAAATAAAAGGTAAAATGCAAAATAATACCTAACTTACCAAGCTAAGTGAATTCAAAGCAAAGATTTCTCTCACCACATGCTTATAGCTGTCTGACTGGATCCTGTTGGCCAGTACCCCTACCCCAGTTCAATGACGCTCCTTAGTAGAGATGAGGGGAGAGAGGTAATTTGTGTCCTCTCTTCTCCTTTATAGCATTTCTGTTCTTTGAGAATCCTCTCCAACTGGGGTTCAGGCGACAGCAAGTCTGTTTGCCAAGTAAATTTCTCGCTCACACTCTTCTTCCTGCCAAAGAATGGCTGCTTAACCAGGTAATAATCCATTTGGTTATGCTCACACCTGGCAGAGGCGTCATTTTGCTTATTGTCTCTGAGGAACTGTTTTGTGCCTGATTTGTAAACTTGGAGCGTGTCGCAGTAAATACATACAGTAGAATCTTATTATTTTACATACAATGTTGCCACACATTTTACCAGGACAATAATGTTCAGCACATTGAGTTTTCAAATGATACCTCCTCACAAGGCATACTTTGTACAAAATCCATTATAGTCTTGT